CATTCTGTTCAGAGTTCCTGTGTCTTCATAATTCAGTCATATTTGTGTGTTTCTAGGAATTTACTAATTTCTTCTAAATTATCCAATTTGTTTGCCTATAATTATTCTTAGTGATCTCTCTGATCCATTTCTGATAGTCATTATAACTTTAAGTCCTCATTTTCTTGGTGAGGCTAACTGAAGTTTTGTCAATTTTATCCTTTCAGAAAACCAGCTTAGTTTCATTTATCTTTTTCTATTGTCTTTTTAATTTCTATTTTATTTATTTGTTTGATCTTTGTTATTTCCTCCTTTCTACCCACTTTGGGCTTAGTATGTTTCTAGTTCCTTGAGGTGTTGAGTTAGGTTATTTGAGATCATTCTTTTTCTTCATGTAGGCATTTATCACTATAAACTTCCCTTAACTGCTTTTGCTGCATTCCACAAGTTTTGATAAATTATTTTTCACTTTTCTCAAGATTAATTTATTTTGATTTCTTTGATTCATTGTTCAGAAACATGTTTAACCTCCCTTATTTGTGAATTTTCCAATTTTCTTCTTACAGCTGTTTTCTAGTCTCATAACATAGTGGTCTGATAAGATGCTTGATTGGATTTTGATCTTCTTAAATTTATTGAGACTTGTTTTGTGGCTTAATGTACAATCTATCTTGGAGAATGTTCCATGTGTTGAGAATGTGTATTTGGTAGCTTTGGTAATGAACATTCTGTATATGTCTGTAAGGTCCATCTGGCTTAATGTGTAGTTTAAGGCCAATGTCTCCTTAATGATTTTCTTCCTGTATAAAGTGGAGTATGCACTTTCCCTGCTCATATTATGTTGTTGTAGATTTCTGACATCAGAAGATTAATATTTGTGTTGTATATTAGGTGCACCTATTTTGGGTTCATAAATATTTGTAATTATTACATCCTCATGATTGGCCTCTCTTACTACATTCTTTGGTTTGTCTGCCATATTCTTATGGATTTCATGGACACTGGCTGGTTTTCAGAGCTGGATGTTTTGGGAGCTCATCACTCCAATGGAAACCTTAAAAGTTGAGGCACTAGAGGTGAAATCCAAACCCGTCACTCCTCAGAACTAGAAGTTGGGGTTCCCTCCCAATTGTATGGTGCTGTGCTGGGGTTTATGGCAAGTATCTCTCAGCCTTCCTTACCCATGTGGGCATTTCCTCTTTGTGCAGTGTGCACTAGCTTCTGGGTCTCTTTCAGGGGGAATTATCAATGTGTAGCTGTACATTTGGTGAGACCATGGAAGGAGGGCACTCAGTACCCTCCTGTGCCATCTTTGTGTTGGTCAACTCTCCTGTGTCCTTCTCAACATGAATGAGCGCTCTTTTTTACAAGGAGTTGTGACAGACTCATCATCTGTCTCCTGTGAAGTTAACCCTCATTTTAAAAATTGTGACCGTTGTAATTTTAATGTAAGAAGGCTCTCCTGAATTGCTGGAAGTTTTCCTCGTGAGTCACTTCTACACGATTGACACATGCAGTATTTGTAAAGGCTAAAACTAAAAAATTAGGAGCTCCCAGGGTTGTGCTGCACAGTCTGATTCTTGTATTTGTGAAGAACATTTTGCCCTTATCGTAAACACTTCTACATCAGCATCTCTGTGATGCAGCCTGGAAATCTGCATTTTAATAATTTCTAAAGTTTGAATTCACATTGCTTGTTATTTTCATTGACATCTTCTGCCAGTTTTTACATCTGCTAGGTTATTCTCTTGCTATACAAACGTAACCTCTCATTTGATATGCAGCTCAATTTCTTAGCCACTCTCCGTCCTCAGAGAAAGACTGGTATCAGGTGTGGATATTCTGATTCAGAGGGGGTGGAAATAGGTAATCAGCAGAAGCAACTGCAATGTCTTTCTTTCCCCAAATGTGGGGGTTGGGGAAGAAAGGGCATTCAGAGACTGGGTTGTATTTTGCACAAGTGATTTTGATTATTTCTTATTCTGCTATTCTGTTTTTTATACCAAATCACAAGTAGAATGGTTTTCTTATACACATCTTTAACAAGCCAACTGTAATTTAGATTTTAACATTATTTATGATTTTTTTCTCACAGGTGTCATCTTTAAGAAATGAAAAGCGAAGTTCATCTTATCTCATCTCTGCTCCAGAAGGTGGTTCCGTGGAATTTGTTGACCAGCATTCTCAGGGCACAGGAGCATATTACATGGAGACCTACTTAAAAAAGAAGCGTGTGTACTGAGCTAAGTTCTCTCCTTATATAACCTCCTATGGCTCTTTGAGTATCTCTGCTGTTCATCGCTGCCTTAACTACATTCATACTAGCCATATCCTTTAAATACGGGTTTATAATTTCACAGAAGGAATTATGTTGTGCAGCAGGCAGAATTGCCAAATAAAAAGTAAGTAGCAATAAGAAGGGACCTTTTCCAATAGAAGTAGATGCATCTTAATCAATGCGGTATTAACTTATAGTCCAGTGCAGAAATTAATAATATTCCTTATTTGAGGACTGGGAATAATTTTGGCACCATACATAAAATATTTGAAGCAATAAATGGGAAACAGTCTTGTTTCCTGGGCCTTAGAAGAGTTTCTTACATGCCAATGTGCATTTCTATTTACCTTCCCTAGAAGTAATCTTATTTATAGATTTTTAGAATTACAAGAGTACAAGTACAAAATGCAGCAATACTGGAAAAAAAGATGCTATACATGCAAACTAAATTATTAGCCACATACACCAGCCATGTAATATAAAACCCCCACAGAGAGTGATATCCTGGTATACACGACCACAGATTCCTTACTTCTAATATGTTATTAACCATATATGCCTTTTGTGAAAAAAACAAGGTATTTTAAGAAAAGTAGCTTTGATGCTATTACTTAAGCAGGTGGCAAACCATACCCTGTGATTAATTTCAGTCCTTCACCTGCTTTTTACAGACTACAAGCTAAGAATGATGTTTACATTTTTAAATGGTTGGAGGAAAAATGAAAATTTTAGGAAATTGTGTCCATACATAAAATTTTATTGGAACACAACCATGCTTACACCCTAAGGTTACTTTTGTGCTACAATGGCCGAGCCAAGTAGCTGGGCAGAGACCTGCAAAGTCTCAAATATTTACCATCTGGCCCTTCATGGAGAAAGTTTGCTGACCCCTGATCTAATAGTACTAATTCCCTAACCCTCTTACTTCACTTAAAGAAATACCTTTAACTTTTGCACCTGACTTGTAAGTGGCAAGGAACTTAGGTTTCTGTCTCATTCCATGACGTATCGACTAATAATTAGATGATTAAAGGCGTTATTTCACAGTATGACAGTAAAGCAGTCAATGCTGTTCTTTCTGAAAGAGTCTCATGGAGTGATAGTATTTACCACCATTTTGAACTAATAATAATAAGCTTTACTTCACTTTGTCTCTTATTCTGTTGTAGTATGTTAGGCTAAAAAAAAAAACAATTTTGTTGCATATAACTTCTGACATCACCATTTCCTGAAGACATTGATATCAAACACATGAGAAAACCTTTGCCATCTGGAAATATCAAAGTTTGTTCCTTGTTATAAGACTGTAATTGGTAAGGAATTTAGGAATCTCAATGATCCTAGTCTTTTTGAACTCAGATTGTTAAATATCTGGTAATTTGGGGGAGTTATTATTTTTGACATGATAATGAGGTATCTATCCTGTTTTAATTATGAAGTTAAAAAAATTGGTGCATATGTTGTAAAAAAACATTACTTCGTCTAATTTATTGCATATATTAACTTCTTTTGGAAAATGAAAGCTAGATTAATTTCTAAAAAGGATACAAGGATACTACCTATGAATAATGATCAGGATAGGCATGACTCAGCAGACCAATAATGGGTTCTCCATGCTCTGCACTTCTGCCCATTTTCCTGCCGCGTTAAGCTTCAATGCTTAGTCACACACATAAGATGGTGAATTTTAAATAAGAGCTGCGAAATGAAAATTCATTTATAGCACATGTGGATCTGCCCTCTGTCCTGGCTTATGCACCACTAACATTAGACATAAGTACAAATCAAATGTTGTTAGTAAAAAAGACCCTTCCCAAAGCCTATATTGTTATTTTTCTAAGTAAACAAATTGTTTGAAATGCTTTGAAAATGGAGTCTTAATATTAAAAGGCATATGCATGTGAAGTCTCATATTATTTATTTGTATAAAGAGTAAACAAAGTGCATATAGAGTGGCCACAGGTTTGACACAGACAGACATCTTGGTGATGGAGGATCATTGAACACATCTAAATGGATCAATCCAGAACTCTCTCTTGTCAGGCTCAAAAGGTAAAACAACATTTTTCATATTCTTGGTCATAAAGATCTAATGGTTCACACTGAATCAGAGATTAGACATCTTGATTACCCAGCTACCTCAAAACGGTCTAGTGGATCCTGAACTCCATAGTGCTACTAGCAGGTTCTTTTCTTTCAAGTCTTATTCCCTTGGGCAGCGATTTCCAACCAGTGTGCCACCAGAACTGTTAAACATGCAATACCTGACTAGTCAGCAGCGTACTCTTTTCCCTTGTCAAAAAAAAAAAAAAAAAAAAATTACAGCTAATACAACAACAGCCATCTGGTGTGAATGAACCAAAATTATATCTTTTTTTTGGTGTGCCGTGAGTTGAAAATCGCTGCCATAGAATGACGGTCAAAATAGTGATTGACTGTTATAGATGGCAGGTAAGTACTGAAACACTCCAAGAACAGTGCGATGTAGTATATATTCTGACTGGTTGCATCCAAAACCAATGCTGGAATAGCTTGCCCCAAAGTGGTCGAGTTATAAAAGGATATATATACATTGACATTTCTTAAAAGCGTGTATAACAGCATCCAGGTTCTTGGAATCCAATCTGTTTAGCAGTATACTGTTTGGGAAAGCACTGGCACAGGCTGAGTTCTCAAGAATTAACACCAGGCAGCAAAGGGTCTATCCCATAGCAGTCCCCCGAGCACAATCAGTTTTCTTAAAAAAAAAAAAAAAGGGTACCGCTGGTCACCCAAGGGGACAGGAGCTAAGCTACTGGAAAAACAAAATAACTCCAAGTTTAAAGTCCTATTGATGACAAGAATACACTCATCTTTGTATAGAAATGATAGTATACTAATGGTATCTAATAGTTCAAGAATGCTTGCTCTGTCACTATATAGATGATGACATTTTTAGGGCATGTTAAAGTATTAACTAAGTCCATTTACCTTTTTTGATTTATGCACCAGAAAAATATTTAAATCAGCTGGGAGAAAGCAATCATCTTGAGATTTTGTTTTGAAAATATCCTATTCTGGTACACAACTGTGATGGTACACTAGCCAGATGAAACGGTGGTATATCGTTCCAAAAGGAGGAGTGCTTACTAATATTTTGGTTGTCATTAAATTTGGCACCAATAACAGTGACAAATAACGAGGGAGTACTTACACATGTTAAGCACCACAGCGTGCCTTATACATGAATTACGTACCCAAGTATCTTTTTAGACAGAATACAAAGATTTCCATTAAAAGTTTTTTAAATGGCTTGGGTATTTGTTGGGGAAGAGGACTTAATACACAGTGAGATTTAAATGTTATTCATGCTTCTTATTTTAAAAGTGCCTCAAATCCTTCAATAAGGTTCTGGAAGGTTGTCCGATTATTTGGTTGGAATTCCCAGCATTTTCTCATAAGTTGATAAACCTGTAAAAAGAAGAAAGAGTAACAGTAAAAAAAAAAAAAAAAAAGCATAGAAATGTAAATGACTTTCCATAAGACTAGATAACAAGGGTATTTGAATGATTAATATAGAAAATGTCACACCTATATTTCATAAATAATATTTTAATATTTGAGAAGCTCATGGGTTAAATGACCTTAAAAAAAATTATGGTAAACCAATTTAAGGGTGAAGTATTATCTCAGTTTAGATTCTGGGTACCTTACTCTAAGGTGTACTGAATAGTATGAATTAGCCTTACAGGCTCAATTCACTTTAGAATACAGAAAACTGAACATCTTAAATGCTACATCATAAATGCTATCAGTAGGTAGGACAAACTTCTACACAAAATGTATATAATATGGATTTTTCACAATAAGGCGTTACCAATATGCTCCTATGGCACTTTCTGAGGTGAGCCTACTTTTGGAGGGAATCCTTGCTTTGAACATAATTTGTGGCTGTCATCTGGCCAAAGATGATTTCTCAAATATCTGAAATTCAGCTTCAGAAAAGTTTTAAAGAACTGTCTACTACTCCCTGCTCCTCCCACCTTGTCCCTTGCTGGATAAATGCAAACTGTGAAAACATAGTAACATTTGAGTGGTGTAACTGTGAAGTGCCCAACCCATAAATACCTCATCTGGGCAGTTGGGAGGACAAGGCAAACGTTTTCCTTCTTTCAATGTGTTCACAAGTCTCGTTACTGTCATCTGGCCGTGAGTGGGGCCTATCATTTTCAGGAACAACTATGTAAAATAAAACCAGACAAGATGTTTTAGGTTGCATATATTTATATAAACCAGATTAAGGTGGAATTTCTAGAATAAACTGGAAATTAAAATAATAAAAAGGCTTTTTTCCATAGTAACTCTAAATGCAAGTCCAAAAATCCTTATTAGCACTCAATGATCAGACTGAGCAGGGAGCCTTCCCAGTGAGAATGACCTCATTTAGGAATACGTGAAGCTCAGACAAAGCTCCTACCCAGGGCTCCTTCACACAGAGGAGACCCTTGAAAGTCAGGGTTATCTGAGAGAACTTTGGGCTCCTTGGGAAAGCAGGATGTGGGAGAGCCACACAAAGTGTCAAGAAATAAACCAAGTTAGATGGAAAGCAACACTTTCCATTATAATACGCGAATTGGATTCCACTTAAGAATTTAAAACTTACAAAGCAGAAGGATGGACACATTTTTGTTGTTGTAAATCCTTACCTGAGGATATTTTTTCCATTGCTTTTCAGAGTGGGAGAGAGAACTGGTTGCTTCCCTCACACGCCCTGAAAGCATGTGCGGGCCAGGGCTGGACACATTTTAATTGGGTGCTAGGCTCAAATGAACAGACGAGCACAACTTACGGCCATGGGACTGGAATCTGAATCACAGTAAGTAAGCAGCTCGTGCAGAGTCACTCCGAAGGACCAGACGTCAGAGGCAATATAAAATTTACACTGAATTAGACATTCTGGGGCGTACCTAAAAGAAAGGAAAACATGAAACTTCACTTCCTGAGAAGGAGATGCCAACAGATAAATACCTTACAAAGAAAAATCACCTTTGGTTTGTCTTAGAATTTAATATTCTACGACATGGAAGTATGTATTAATCTCAGTACATATTCCCTCCAAAACAATAGCAGGGTAAGTTTGTGCTCTCCACGTGGAGGCAGGTATATGGGACAGGCCCCAGATTTGATTTGCCTACAAGTTCAGAATGAATCAGCAGTGACCTCCCTGCCCAGTCCTCTTCCAGTGTCAGCTGTTTTGATGAGTGATACCCAATTGCCTAAGCCAGAAATTGAGGCATCCCATATCTGATTTCCTAAATACTTCTCATACCTACTCACCTCTCCTAAACCCACCATCACTGGCTCTGGCTGAATCAAGACTCTCTGGCTCCCCTCCATTCCACAGTGACCTTTTAAAAACAAGTCCCCACCCAACAGTACCCCAAAGCTCATGGGATCCCCGCCCCCCAAGGCAGACCTCCCACTTCATGACCAGCCACACCGAGCTGATGTCAGTTCCTAGGATACCACTGCTCTTGCCTTGTTCTTTGGAGTCACACATGCCTTCTTCTAACCACCTTTACAATC